TTAAAATTTTCGGATCCTCCCTGAACTGTTGCTTTAAGTATTGCGGATTTACAACTTAAAATCCATGGATTTGGTGTGCGGCGGCTGCGCTCGCAAAATCGCTCTTGTCCCACGCGGTGCAAAAGCACAAAACGCGCGATGTCGTCAACGTGTTAAAGGTTTAAACAAAAAGTATTGGCAGGAATAATGCATATAGAGGCTGGTTTAGGCTCAGGATATGCGAATCCAATAAAAACCTTCAGCAGAGGAGATCATTACTAACGAGGAACTTGTAAAGGGCCCGGAATTATTATTGAGTGATTACCCAAATTTCCGGTGGTAAGCCCGCGCGATCTCACGTAAAACCACCTCCACTCGTGCAGTGTAATTTTGTACACCTTAGAAACCACCGTAAATTTGCCTATAGAGGTAATTCGATGCCCTGATCACGAAAATGACTTTCATTTTTAGCGGTGGCGCATCTGGCGCCAGTTGGCATCACCTTGTCGGCATATAAAGCTTACTTAGTGTGATTACGAATATGATTCATTATCGGCGCTGGCGCTATTATTTGGCAATTATTTTCTGCTCGTCTGCGCTCTCCAACCGAGAAATACGTGTCGGACAACGTTAATGACAAAAGCGAATGTCCTTTACGTAACTAGCATATCGAATTGCTCCTATAGGCAAGTTACGGTTGTTCTAGATGCTCCATTAGATGTTCCACACACATTCCATTCCATTTCTTTTAGCTGAATTCCCTCATGTCTCACTCAAACCTACCTTATCCATCATTCGGAATATCCTATCGACTCGTTTCTCGGGTGTGCTCTCATCATCCGGAATTTTTACACTCGATCCAACCATTTTGTATATGGAATCAACAATCGAAAGCATCTCATCACGTGTGATAAAACCGTCGTTGTCGAGATCGTACAATTTGAATGCCCCTGAAAAGTTCCTTAGCTGCTTGAATGATTATTGGCATGAAAATACGTAATTGGGTAAACGTACAATGTAATTTCTCATCAAGATTCCCCCGTGACGTTATGGACAAGGCTCGAATAAATTCGTGAAATTCGATCGCTCCATCCTGAATTATGTGACTTGTGATGCCGGAATTTGGTGTAATTCACTTAGACGAGAGTCAGAGCTAAATTCGGCTCATCCGATACGGCGAATCGGCTCATCTCGTAGTAGCGGAACCAAAAACATCAGATGACACACCTTATTCTCGTCGAACACCTTGAAGACGAACGAGGCGAAATCAGATGGATCGCCTTGCGGAAAGAACTGCTTGTAGATCTTTTGGAAACCCTGCAAAACGCTTGAGTAAGATTTCGAAAGTTAGAAACGGTGTAAAGAAAAAGTTGCCGTTCTCAAGCAAAAAAGAGCTAAAGATACACACAATTTTGGTGAACCATTACTGAATTGCTAAACCTCTCATTAGATGTGCACGTATGTATGCATATCGTCTGCGTAAGTAAAGAACGTAAAGGAGATTAATGCAGGTTCTTGAGCTGCTTGCCTGATCGTTCTCATTTTTCTTCTTTTTTTTTTTTTTTTTCTTCTTAAAGTCTCGATTATGTAGGTGGTGCCAAGAGATGATCCTGCGCGGAAAAGGTGCTAAGACGTTCCTCTTTCCGCTGCCCATGCTGTCACCCTATCAATCTTCACATACGTGGCGTTTACGGCCCCCGCGTACAATATGTATGTTCTCTCGTAGCGCTACGTCTCTTCATCACGCCACGGTCGACTTCAGAAAAATTCTAGTGTGAGCCTTCTCCATTGCATGTAAGCGTTTCGTAAAACAACTCTATTTTCCATTTTTTTTCGATTTTCCTCTGTGAACATAATAATAATTGCAATATTACACGTTGGAG